CTCACAGCTAGACTTCAATCCAACTCAACAAGCATTTATTAAGCACCTGCTATGAGCCAAAGAGCAGTATGGTAGCGAGAAAGCCCACCCCAGAGTCAGGTTCAAGTCCTGCCTCAGACACATTTTGGCTATGGGACCCTGGGCAAGATGTTTACCCTTCCAGGGCCCTGGGCAACTTCTGCAGAGAAGGTGCTGACCTATGTGGGTAGGAGGTGCTTTTTCTTCCATCAATGAAATGACTTCTCCAATCCCTTTCCTTAGCCTTATGTAACCAAAATGAGACTGTCCCTGCCCTCGGGGAGCTTATAGTCTGGGGTGGGGGGAACCCCGCATGTACACACACGTCAATACAAAATCCAATCTGGCTAAGTCCAAAGTGATTGGGGCACATGGGGCCTTCTGGATTTCTGTGTAAGCATCCCTGTCCCTCAAAAGGGACCCTTAGCTGTGAGGGCAAGCAGGAAAGGATAGAGGCGTCTTGGGTTTAGGGAGACCAAACACTCGCCTCTCTTCATTCAAAGGAAATCATTCTTCTTGTTACCAGATGGGTAAATCAAGGCATGGTTTAAAACATTAGGACCTCTGGCCTCACTCATACTTTCAGAAATATCTGAATCACAGCGTCCCTGGCTTCCTGCTACTCACCATCTCTTCCCTGTTGAATGCTTTTCTTCTGCTGGCTCATGGTGATGCACCATCTCCATGACGGCTGAGTTGTCCAAAGCTCCTGTTTGATTTCTTACACTGTCTATGGAGGAAATGCCAGAGAAGGGCCATCACAGGCTGCAGGCCTTTGAATTTCTTCCCATAGCTCTTTCTGTGCCTTTCATTTCCTCTCCCAGACATTCTTTCAGTTAATTAGACGGTCCCTTGGCCGGATGACTTTTCTGCAGATTTCAGAGTCAAATTGTAGGTAAAAGGTTTCGGTTCTGGTACAAGAGAACCACAGAGGTGAGAAAGTGTTTGTGAGGAGCTGGCACCCAGTCTAAGGGGAGATGAGCTCTCCAGATGCAGGGGAGTGGCTTCTCAACCTAGCCACCACTTAATCTTTGTTTAAAAAAAAAAAAAGACATTTCATGGATGTCTTTTGTCTTTGTATCGCAGTCATTTCAGCTCTTCCCCTTCCACTAAGTCCTCCCTCATGAAAATCGAGCCACACTATCTGATTCAGTGACTGATAATATAACAAATTCTGTCTTCCTGGTCCCCTACCTTCCGCCATGATGGGGAGGGGAAATTATATTTCATTATTCCATCTGGTACCCTCTCTGGTTTTTCAATTACTCAGAATTTAAGGAAGTCACTTAGTCTTATCCCTGCAAAGAAATGTCCACATAGCCTTCCCATGGTTACACTTTTCTCTGTGGATCTCTGCTGATATGCCCCCAAAGTTATTCTCATTCCCACCCCCAAAACTTCAATGGGGGATTTTCCAAAATGCTAGACTTGGAATTCAGAGACCTGAGCTCAGATGTCACTACACAAATTTATTGTGATCATGGGCAAAAGCACTTAAGTCTCTCAGAGCCTCAGTCTTATCATCTGCAAAGTGGGGATAGCAGAATTTATATGGCCTACCTCACAAGGTGGTTGGGATGAAAGCATTTTGCAAATTATAAGGTATTATAGAAGTGTGAATTATTATCATTGTTGTTGTTGTTATTTAATGTGTACAATTCTAGAAAAACTCCAGGTGACTTGAAGCTCCCAGCGGTGTTTCAGGCAGGGCAGGTGCCTGGGAAGGGGATGGCCTCTCCAGCAGCATCAGCGTCTAAACCACGGGGGTGCCCTATGGGTCTTGGAGGGACTGGCTAGGGCCTTAGGAGAGAGTTAGGGTTTCAGCAGCTCCAAATGTTAGCCCAATGGCAATATCAATTTCAGTTCCTTCCAAAGGAAAGTGCTTTAGGGGTGATAATTACTGTAGCCCCTGGGTCTTTGTGTCCCCCCTACTATGTGCAGGCTTAACTCCGAGGTGCCATCCCAAGCCCATTCTATCTTGGTGACCTTATCAGCTTCCATGAGTTCAACTATAATCAATAATTAATAATAATAATAACAAGAAAAACGTTAATTTCTATGGCACTCTAAGGTTTGCAATACACTTTACAAAGATTTCATTTTATCCTTACAACAATCCTGGGAGGCAGGTGCTATTATTATACCTACTTTACAGATGAAGAAACTGAGGCAGAACGTAGTTAAGGGACTTTCCCAAATGACTAGGTAGTGTGGGGAATTTGAACTCCAGTCTTCCTGAATCTAGGTCCAGAGCTCTATCCAATAACATACCACCCAGCTGCCTCTATGCAGATTCAGCACAAATCTACCTATCTACCTCTCTGTCTCCACCTGTCTGCTGGACATCACCATCAGAATGACCCAGAGGCATCTCAAACTCAGCCTGGTCCTCTGTCTGAGACAGAGCTCGCCATTTCTTCCTCTAAACCCTCCCCCCCGCCTGTCTCCTCACATCCGTGTTTCTGTCAAAAGCGCTGCCACTCTGCCATTCACAAGGATGTGTCACCTTGGAGTCACCAGCTTCCAGATCCAGCCTGTCTCTGGGTCTCATCCAGTCCGTCTCCTCAGGCTCTCTTAAAACCATCCCCTTCCCTCGTCATTCACATCACAACCAGCCCAGTCCCAGCCTCCATCACCTGTCCCGTGGACCGCTGCAGTAGACTCCTCATTGGTCTGCCTGCCTTATGTCCCTCCCTCCTTCAGTCCGCCCTCTGCAGAGCTGCACAGTGTGCCATCCCACAGCACAAGTGCTATAGTGGCAGCTTCAGCGCATCCTCACTGCCTTCAGCATAAAAGAGAGTCCTTTATTTGGCATTTAAAAGCCACAGTCTGATTCCTGCTTGTCTTTCTAGAATGACCTCAGTTCTCTTCCCCCTCATGCACTCTATGTTCCAGCCGAACTGGCCTACTCACTGTTCTCAAAACGCAAGATTCCGTCTCCCATCTCCGCATCTTTGCACGGGCTGTTGCCTGTGCTTGGGATGCCATCCCTCCTTGCTTCTGCCTTTTGGAACTCCTAGCTCCCTTGAAGCCTCAGCTCAACTGCCACCTTGGTTTGGTTTTTTTTTTTTCAGGCAACTGGGGCTAAGTGACTTGCCCAGGGTCACACAGCTAGTAAGTGTCATGTGTTTGGTCTGAGGCCGGATTTGAACTCAGGTCCTTCTGACTTCAGGGCCACTGCTCTATCCACTGCACCACCTAGCTGCCCCAGCTGCCACCTGTTTCAAAGCCTTTCCTGATTTCTTCCCCCAAATCATTACTAGCCTCCCAATTACTGTGTGCTGATTTTGTAACTATCTCAAGTTTACTTGTTTGTGACTGTGCCCTATCCCTCTCCCTCCCTTCTCCCCCAACAGCAGAGTGAAAGTTTCTCTGGGGCAGAACTGGATTCTTTTGTCTTGCCTTTTGGGGTTTTGTCTCCAGCACCTAGAACAGTGCCTGGTGCACAGCTGGGTCCAGTGCTTATGAAATTGAAATTAATTGAATTGAATTGAATTTTGATGGGAAGCTCTGTGTGGCATTTGTCTCCAAATGGTCTCTGTTTAGATATACAAAAACTCAGCGAGAGCTCTTGCCCTCCCGGCACCAGTCTGTGCCTGTCGGTCAACAGACATTTATTAAGCACCTGCTGTGTGCCGGGCACTGTGCAAAATGCTGATCCACCAGGGTTCTGAAACAATTAGAAGCGCCTGGTACTTCTTTTTCTCTCTGCCTCCAAGGACCAAAGGAAGGATTGTTAGTGACTCTGGCCACGTGCAGCCACGTTGGAAGGGACCTCAAGGCACCTCGAGGTCAGATCTCGGTTCCGTTCACAGAGGTCCTGAGGAACCCTCCATAGGAAGGTGTGGTGGCCAAGATCAGGCAGAGCCCAGCTCGTCTTATGAACCACTTAGTGCTGCGTCCTTCATAAATTTATCCAAAGCCTTTTTGGAGCCCTTTGCATTTTCTGCCAGTGATGAGGTGATGAGCAACCAGGGCTTATTACCAGTTGTGTGGAACAGGACATCGCTCATAGAAGGGATGGGACGGTTTTTTCTTCGGGACCTTCTTGGGCTCTTCCACACCTTTTTAAATGTACAGCGGCCACAACTAGGCATGCTAGCCTAAGAAAAGTCAGGCTCGTGGAGGACCAGAAAAAGTACTGCTTTCCTGCTTGTTAATTCTCTCCTCACCCTGCTCACCACTCAATACAGCCTCATTTAGTTAAAGCTCTTTGATTCAGATTAATTAGCAGAAATAAATCTGATCTAGTGACTTGGGGACTGGAGGAGAATCCCAGGATTTAATATGTTTTTTTGAAAAATATTTATATTAGATTCCATTTTCAAATAAAGACCTCTGAATCAACTAGGCTCTAAGAAAGTTGCATAGTAGAGACCAGTAAGGGGATTGGATGACTAGATAAGGAGAGGCTAATTCTGGGCATCAGGCATTGGGTTTACAAATGAGTTCTTGGAGATCTTAATCTATCTCAAATAAGTTGAATATTTCCCAAAAATGATGGTACTGGTCTGCTGAGCAGATGCAGAGGTAAACTAATCTGTCCCTGAGTTATCATAAATTCAGAATTAGATGCAGTGTGAGGCCATAAAGAGTGAGCTTGGTGTCAGAAAACCCTGGGTTCCATAGTCCCCTTTCCCCACCCCAAGCTCATGCTCAAGAGGCTACTTATGGTGGGAGAGGTGATCAGCTACAGTGCATGAAAGGTACATTGTCTGGGGTGGGGGGAGCCGCTATTTAAAGGAAGTAACTTCATTAAACAATTCATTCAGACTCTCTGAGCCCCAGTAAAATGGGGAAGCAATCACATTTTGTTCCCAGCATTGTGAGGATCTAAGGAGAAGATGTGTGTAAATCACAAAGTGCTATGTAAATGGCACCAGGGTTATCTGAAGTGCTATACAGTCTAGCTGAATCGTGTGAGCCTTTTTCATGATAAACTTGGTTTTGATTTTCTGTGTGATCTTTCTTTCCACTTTCAGATCATCCTTTGGGGTCGAACTGAGAAATGCCTAAAGGAGACCACAGAAGAGATCAGGCTGATGGGCACCGAATGCCACTATTTCATCTGTGATGTGGGCAACCGAGAAGAAGTTTACCAGACAGCAAAAGCTGTTCGAGAGAAGGTAGGGAACCTGTGAGGGAGGAGAAAGTCGCTGGTCTCTTGAGGCTGTCTTCAGAAAAGACTAAGAGGCTGAGAATCCCCATGGGAGGAGACATGATTGCATGAGCGATTTTCAGGCATGTTTGAAAGGAGATGCTTTTGGGGGCAGCTAGGTGGCTCAGTGGATAGAGCACCAGCCCTGGAGTCAGGAGGGCCTGAGTTCAAATCTGGCCTCAGATACTTGATACTTACTAGCTGTGTGACCCTGGGCAAGTCACTTAACCCCAGTTGCCTCACCGAAAAGAAACAAGAAAAGTAAAGAAAAGTAAAGTAAAGAAAAGAAAAGAAAAGAAAAGAAAAGGAGATGCTTACACTGTGATCTGGCCTCAGAGAGAGCCTTGCTCAGAGTGGGCAGCTGGGGTCACCTCATGATGGACTCAAGAGGACAAGGATGTAGGCCACTGCTGCTCCCCCTGTCCCCCTGGGAAAGAGCTGGTGGGTGGGGGAAGGGTTCCTCCCTAGGGTAGATGATGGTAAAGGTAGTTCTGCCAATATCCATTAACAGAAAGAATCCAAAGAAATCTGAATCACTCTCCACATCCCTTTTTGATTATTTCCTTTCCCAAACCCTTTCTCCACTGGCTGATTTCTTATAGATGCGTTCGTTCAAAGACCATTTATTAAGCATTTATTATTTATTGGATAGAGAGCTGGATTTAGAGTCAGGATGATGCAGGGGTTTAGATTCAAATACACATCTTTGACACATACTGTCTGTGTGACCCTGATCAAGTCATTTAAATCTCAGTTAGATCTGGGGCATCTCTCAAACAGTATTAACTTATACTCCCTAGAGATGAAATAGCAGACGTCTGGTGCCTCTCCACTCACTACCCCCCCACCTCCCAAAAAAAACACCTCCACGTTGTCAGGATTCCAATTACAAACAACTTATTAGATGATCATTATGAGAAATATAGGATGTATTTCTCATGTGTGTGTAAATGTATGTATATACATATGTGTGTAGTGTGTCTGTATAATTATATATATATATATATGTATGTATAGGATAAATACAGGCATGATAAATGTAGGAATGAAGATATAAAAACAAAAGCAAAGCAGCCCCTCCCCCAAGGAATTGACATTCTAGTAGTACAATTAAGTGATATTTTGTACTTGCTTATCAACATACACTCTGCCTCCCCCCAAGAGCTCTTTGAAGGCAGGGACTGTCTCATTTCTGTCCTTGTCTCTCTCCCCCAGCCCTCACCCCCCCCCCCATTTCCCAGCACTGGGCCTTGCACACAGTGCACAATTGAGGGCTTGTTGCATTGAGTTGAATGATATAATTCCTGTCCTCAAGGAACTTGCAATCTGTTAAGAGGAAACCCCTCGTACGCAAATAAGCTTATCTGTGCAATGGGGCAAAAAAAGAGAACCAAATGAAATATTCTAGGGAAATTTGAGGAGGATCAGATATCACTTTCAACTGGGGCAATCAGGGTGGGAATCCAGAAGGAGGTAAGCTGAGTCTTAGAGGAAGAGAAGGATTTTTTTTAAACAACTAGAAACAAAGAAGGAATTCTTTCTATGCATGAGAAGTGATCTGCTCAATCAGTTCTTTCTGTGCTTAAGAGGTAGCTTTTGCAATACCTGGAGGTGGGAGGTGATGTGTCCATTTGAGGGATGAGTGTTGGGCCCAGCTTGGCTGGAACAGAGGGAATTCAGGTCACAATGTTTTAACTGGGCTCTGTTCTCCTGTTCTTGTTCTTAGGTGGGGGATATCACAATCCTGGTCAACAATGCTGCCGTGGTCCACGGGAAGAGCCTGATGGACAGTGACGATGACGCCCTCTTGAAGTCACAGCACATCAACACACTGGGACAGTTCTGGGTAGGAGAAGCTGCTGGAGCCCATCTGGGATAGGACTGTGACAGTTTCTTGCTAGGACAGATTCAGCTGCCTTGAGAATGACTCCAGGAGGGGAGGGGGAGATCATCCAGGCCAGTGGGCAAGTCAGAGAACAAGGTGGTGCTGGACCTAGCCAGTGGTGCCAGAAGGTCTGGGGTCTTTATGATCTGTTGGATTTGGCCCCAACTAGGCAGCTGGGTCTAGTTACCTTTTCTGCTCCTTCTTAAGTGTAAGGGTTGGTTCCTAGAGACATTATCCATATCCCTGCCCCTTAGGGGAGGAAAAAAAAGGATGAGTGCCAGGGGGTTGAAAGCGTGGGGTATCTTCAAGCTGACTTCCTGTTTCTGCCTTAGACCACCAAGGCCTTCCTGCCCCGGATGCTAGAGCTCCAGAATGGCCACATTGTATGTCTAAATTCAGTTCTGGCTTTGTCAGCCATTCCTGGAGCCATTGACTACTGCACCTCCAAAGCATCTTCCTTCGCCTTCATGGAAAGTCTGACTCTGGGTCTGCTGGACTGTCCAGGGGTCAATGCCACCACCGTCCTGCCCTTCCACACTAGCACAGAGATGTTTCAGGGAATGAGGGTCAGGTGAGTAAAGAGGAAGCCAGTCTTTTCAACTACTTCCTTAGGCCTTACAAAATAAAATGAAAATGAAAAAGCATTTATTAAACATTAGGTGCCAGAAACTCTGCTAAGCTCTAGGGGTACGAAGACAAAAGATAAAACAGTTCCTGCCTTCAAGGAACTTACATTCTAATGAGCTGGGGTTCTTCTTAAGCAGCTAGGCAGGGCAGTAGCTAGAGCCTTGGGCCTGAAGTCAGGAAGACCTGAGTTCAAATCCAGCCTCAGGCATTTACTTCACTTGTGTGACTCTGGGCAGGTCACTTCATCTCTACCTGACTCATTTTCCTCATCTCTAAAATGGGGATAGTAATAGCACCTACTTCCCAGGATTGTTGTGAGAATCAAATGAAATACCATCTATAAAACATTTAGCATAGTGCCTGACACATAGTAGGTGCCTAATAAGTGCTTATTCTCTTCCCCCTTCTCTTCTTCACCTTTTTGTGAAATGGAAAGAAAGAAACAAACAAACAAGCATCTATTAAGTACTTACTGTTCAGTCTGGCAAAGCCTATGGACTCCCCAGAATAATGTTTTTGAATGCATAAAATACGTGAGGTTACAAAGAAAACTCATTGTTTTGAACTACAGTTAGCAGATTGTTGTTTTTTTTTCAAAGGTTCATGATCAAAAGGTGGTTGAGAATCTCTGTGATGGAGGAAGATAATATATCGAGGACAGTGCTAGCCCCATCTATTTTAGACAGAGCTTCTTACAGTGCATTGCTATTACAGTTTTCCTAAAATGCATTTATGCTCCATGGAGTGTGACATTTATTTCTAAGCTGGACGTGAGAATGGAGCCTAGGCTACCGTCTCATCCTTCTCAGGAAGGGCAGAGTCGATGTGACTGCTGTTGTAGGGTTAGAGAGGAGTGTGAACAGGCCAGATCAGCTCACCAGTGATACGCAGAGAAGGTGGGCTGGTCAGGTCAAGGACAAGGGAACGGCCAGTGGACAGCCAGGGTGCTCCACTGTTACCATCTCAGTGTCAGGAGAAATCAAGGAAGACTTCCAGTAGGACCCTGTGGTGGACTTTGGGGAGGAAATAGACAAGGGTTGAGACAGGACAGGCTTCGATCTCCACCTGGAGAAAATTCCCAAATCGATGAGCTCATGGTCCTTTTGATGTTGGAGGCTCAGAGCAGCCACCTGCCGATCCGAGGCTTGACAGCAGGTGGCCCGAGTTCTACAGACAACCAGCTACCTCCTGAGGGCGGAGGTTAGGAACTGGTTAACCCTTTGGGTTAACTGGTGAAGTCTTATCTGCAAATGTGTCTCAATCCTCCAAAGTACTTTCAAAGAACAGGGAATGGGTGGTTCTCCCAAGCAAGTTGAACATTCCTCTGAGCTGACAAGGCACGGTGATAGACTGGAGCTGGAAATCAGATTTATTACCCAGTTTTCCCTTCTTGGGTAGAACTCCACCTCCTTACCCTCTTACCCATTTGAAACAGAAATATAAGACTTTCGCCCTTGGTGGCCAGCAGCTGCCTACTGACTTAGAGGCCTGAATCCTTGCAGTCTTGGGATGAGCAAATGAAGAGGACTGGACGAACTGCATTTAATGAAAACCTCCTTCCTAAAAGTAACTAGAAGAGGGAGCCACTGTTCATTGTTCAGCTGTTCTAGCCAGGACTTCTGAAGAGCCTGCTAAGGGCTGATAAATGTCTAACTATCCGAGTACTCCAGGGGCCTTGTGGTCTCCTGCTTATGAATATTCTCTCCAATGATACAGGTTTAAGCCTGTCCCCACCTACCCTTCCTCTGGGGACCCTTCTCCATGGCCTCCCATCTGTTGGTCCCAGGGGATCCTTCCCACATGCTGGTGGCCTTCCCCTCTTTCCTTGACATCACAGATAGACCAGCTATGTACTAAATACCCCTCCCTTCTCCACAGGACCAGCCCATCTTCTTTTTCAATCATCCAATCTTTTTTTTATAATCGCCTTTCCACCTGTCTTCTGTAATTCTTCATCGCAGCCTGCTGTATGCTGCCTTCCACCCCTCCATCGCCGTTTCAGTGATTTTCAGTTCCTTTGGGGATTTTAGAATGGGGGGGGGTTACCCTCCCCACCTCCCACCCAAGAAAGAGAATTCTAGGCTGAATACGATGGGAACTCAAGCTGCTTACACACTTTCTGTTTCAGCAACAAACGTATGAACAGCAGCTAGGCCAGGTAACAGAGAGGGAGTTGCACATGGAGTCAGGAAGACTTGAGTTCAGATCTTGCTTCTGACATCTCCTGGCTGGGTTGATTTCTGTATGTTTGTTTTGCCTGTTTTTGTATCCCCACCTGCTTAGCACAGTGTGTCATACATAGTAGGTGCTTAATAAATGCTTATTGACAGACGACCCTGAGCAAGTCACTTAAACCCTCTAAGCTCCAGTTTCCTGGAGCTTAACAATAGCATGACTTCCCAGGGCAATTGGGAGACTCATGTGAGATAATCAGTGTCAAGCTTTCCAGTGTTTTATGTGTTATCCACAGTTTTTGTTAGTATTATCATTATTATTATTATCATTATTATTACTGTTATTATAAGTCATTTAAAGAACTTTGGGGCTTCAGTTTGCTCATCTCTAAAACGAGAGGCCTGTATTTGATGACCAGCCCTGAATCTCTGACCCTATGACCTGTGAGCAGGGAGGGGGAGCCCTCAAGCAAAGAACCTCGAAGTGTGAGTGACTGCTGTTCCTAGCACTTTTCTGCGGCAGCACCAGTAATGTTAACTGTGAGAGTTTATGCAAGAAGTTACGGCTCACCAAGCATTGGGTGTGATACCTCCCTTGAGCCTCATAGCAAGACGATCAAGTGGCTTTCCCACCCTGAGCCTGCGAGTTTTGATCTGAAGCTTTTAATGATGAGGAAACTAAGGGACAGACAGCTTAGGGGAGAGGTCAGCGTCTTACAGAAGCGGACGTTTAGAACATGATTGAACTTTGGAGTCCATCAGATTCAAAACTACTGCCCTTGCCTATTTCACAGAGGGAAAAAAATGGAGGCAGTCTAAGAAGGAAGGAATTTGCCTACAGTCACACAACTATTAAGTGTTTAAAGCCAGACTTACATTCAAGTCGTCCCGATTCCAAGGCCAGTCCTCTACCCACCGCGCCATCTGGCTGCCTTCTGTCTCTACATTCAGTGCTCTTTCCACTGTATCACACTGCCTCAAATCAAAGAAGGTCCCACTCAGAAGGGCCCTTTGTTGCTGTTTGGACATTTTCAATCATGTCTGCCTCTTCAGGGGTTTTCTTGGCCAAGATACTAGGCAGTTTGCTATTTCCTTCAAATTTTACAGAATAGGAAACTGAGGCAAACAGGGTTAAATGACTTGCCCAGGGTCACACAGCTAGAAGGTGTCTCAGGCCTGATTTGAACTCAGGAAGATGAGTCTTCCTGACTCCAAGCCCGGCCCTCTATCCACTGTGCCACCCAGCTGCCCAAGAATGAAGAAACTCTGAAGAAACCCAAAGATGGGGAGATATTCTTACTCCAAAACAAGTGCTCCTTCCCCTCCCCCACATGAAGGGTTATCGATCGATTGTCCAAGGCCACACAAGGGGCACGAATGAGTGGCAGTGGGACTTGACTGTAGCTCCTCTGTGTCCTTGGGTCAGTGTTCTTCCCACCACATCATGGTACCTCCCCAAGGGAGCAGCTCTTCCAAATGCTTCCATCCCTCCTCAGATTTCCCATGGCGACCCCTCCCCGACCCTCTCAGATGAGAACCTCACCTCACACCTCCCAAAAGACAAATTGAGGCTTTGACTAAGACCGACCTCTTCCACCTCCTCCACATTTCACTCCCCTTCTTCACTCACTTTCTTCTAAACCCTCTGCACTCTACATACAGTTTGCTTTCCAGCCTCAGCCTTCAGCCAAAACTGCTCTCTTCAAAGTGACCTGGGATCTTTCAGTTTCTGCATCAGATGACCTTTTCTCAGTCCTCATCCTGCTTGATTTCTTGCCTTTTCGTCCTGGATACTCTCTCCTGCCTGAGTTTTCAGGACACTCATCCCTTCTGGATCTCCCCCTGCCTGTCTAGCTACTTCTCAGTTTCCTTTTCTAGATTTTCATCCAGATCATGCCAATTAACCATGACTCTCCCCGCAAAGGCTCTGTCCTGGACATTCTCCCTCTACATTCTCTCCTCTGGTGATTTAATCAGTTCTCTTGGAATCAATTATCATTTCCATGAAGATGGCCCTCAGATCTGTTTTTCTAGCCCTTACTTCTCTCCTGAGCTCCAGTCTAATGCATCACTATCTGCCTATTGGACATCTCAAACTGGACACTGCACAAATATCTTAAACTCAGCATGACTAAAACAGAATTCATTAGCTTTATTTATTAGCTAAATAAATTAATTTACTAATTAATTAGCTTTACTAGCCCCACTAACCCCCTTCTCGACTTCCCTATTACTGCCCTGGGAGTCGTTCTTGAACGCTTAGATGAAGTCACTCCCCAGATCCAGTCTGGGGTCAGTTCTCATCACCTCCACCTTCACTACATTTCTTATAGCTGTTCCCTTCTCTCCTCTGACCCAGCCGCCCCCCTGGTGCAGGCCCTCATCACCTCACACCTAGACTACTTTCATAGCCTTCCAGTCGGTCTCCATGTTTCAAGCCTCTCCCCATTCCAGTCCATCCTCCACTTGGCTGTCAAATTCATCTTCCTAAAATGAAGATTCGGCCTTGTCATTTCCCTTTCCAATAAACCGCGGTGATTCCCCGTTACCTACAGGGTCAGATAGAAGATCCTCTGTTTGGCTTTTTTAAAGCCCTTTCTCATCTGGCCTCTCCCAACCTTACATTTTACTCCCCTCCATCTTCTTTCTGATCCAGCCCCCCAGACCTCCTGCCTGTTCCTCCCCTAAGAGCCTCCATCTTCTGACTCCGGGCATTTCCCCTTCCTGGAATGGTCTCCCTTCCTCATCTCTGCCTCCTGGCTTCCCTCAAGCCTCACCTTCTACAGGAAGCCTCCCCAGCCCTCCTTAATCTGAGTGCCTTTCTTCTGAGATTACGCTCCATTTATCCCATCTATAGCTCGTTTGTACATAGCCGTTTACATGCTGTTTCCTCCGTTAGACTGGGAGCTCCTTGAGGGCAGGGACCTTGGGCTTTCTTTGCATCCCTAGCATTTAGCACATGCTTGGCACACTGCAGATGCTTCATAAATGCTTGCTGATGATGGTGATAATGATGCTCTTGTGTTCTAGACTCCATGATCCCAAGCGGCTCTTCGGCTGCCACACACAGCCTTTCTCTTTCCCTCCTCCAGGTAACTTCCTTGTGAAGTCAGGCCCTTCACTCCTGGCCCTGCTGCAAAGCTGTGCCTCATTTTCCCAAGTGGTCTGTATGTGCTTTCTCCGTGATGATGCTCATTTGGGTGCTGAGGCTCCTCAGAGAGGGCCCTGCTTCTTGCTTGCGAGCCCTCATCCTGTGGTCAGCCCTCTGGTGATCCAAACGTTGAATGTGGTGGGTCCCTGGGGTACGACATCTAGCGTGATATGGCCTCTGTGTTCATCCTTGCAGGTTTCCCAACCTCTTTCCCCCCCTGAAGCCAGAAACAGTGGCCCGGAGGACAGTGGAAGCCGTCCAGCTCAACCAGGCCCTTCTCTTGCTCCCCTGGACTATGAACATCCTTGTCATCTTGAAAAGGTACGGGGTGGGTTTGGGGTGGGGAGAGGGGTTGGTGCTCTGTCTAGCCCAGTCAGTCACTGCAGGGGAAAGCAGAGTCAGGCAGGCAGTGGGGCACACTGCCATTCAGTGTGGGCAGAGCCCAGTGTTAGGCTCTTGATGAAGTTCCTGCCCTCAGGAAGCTTCATCTACCATCTCTGCATCCCTAGCACATAGCAGGCATTTGGTAAGTGTTTGTTGAAATCGACTGAATTGAATTGAATTTAGTGATAAAAAAAAATTTGCTTGTGATAAAAAAAAAATATCTAGCATTTATATAGTACTTTAATGTGCTCCCAACAACCCTAGGAAGTAGGTGCTATTATTATTCCCATTTTACAGATGAGGAAACTGAGGCAGACAGAGGTTAAGTGACTTACCCAGGGTTATACAGCTAGCTAATCTCAAGCAAGATTTCTACTCACGTCTTCCTGACTCCAGGCTTAGCATTCTGTCCACTGCACCCCCTAACATGTGCAGAAAAAAAAATCTTCATGCTTTATGGGCCTCTGGGCTTACTCAGGCTGGTTCTAATGCAAAGGCCTGATGCCAAAAGGATGGTTTCTCTCTGTGAAATCATTATGCCCTCGCCTGGAGATAACTCCAAGAATCTCCCAGTTTAATGTAGACACGGTTATTGTCTAGTTTTCCCTGAGTCCTGCACAAGCATGCCAGGTAACAAATGCCCACAGGGTTTCAGAGAACCTTTTTGCTGTAATCTGCAGAAGATGCGGAGGACTCAAGAAACACAGACACCAGAAATAAAGCGTTCTTAGTAATGCGTGAGCTCCACTTACAGGCCAGCCTTCTCTGGGACAGCTTCAAGAAGCCATCTCCCCTTCCCATTGGACCTGCACCATTCACCTCACCAACTGAAACATCAGACAGAGTGAAACAAAACAGCAGAGCAGATGGTGGCCAGGGAGGAAATCCTGCTTCGGACTGTCCTGGTGCTCCAGGCAGCTCTCTCAGACCTAAGTTACAGAGAAGGTGCGACCTATATCAGTGGAGGGAGTTGAAATCACTACTCCTCTCCCCAGCCCTAAAAGCAGAGACTGGCAAAGTCCAGAGGCCTTGCTTACCCCCATCAAGGGCTCCTACACCATTCCTCTGGCCTGGAGGCCACAAGTCTGACTTCCTTTCTTCTCTAAAGAGGATGCTACTCAGGAAATCTCTGTGCTTTAGAATACCACTTCACTTTCCAAATACGGGTTTACCTGCAGGGAAAACCCTGAGGTCAGGCCAACCCCACTGGGAAAGGTTCTTCTCTAGCTGGAAGGCCAGAATGTGATCATATTCTGCATAAGCACTTGGAAATCATCCCTCCTTTACACACGTATTACGTGAGCATTGCCCATGAAGTCTCTTCTCAGGCCTAGGAGACAATCCGACTAGAATCCTGCTTCTTCTGTGTGCTTCTGAAGCGCTCCCCCAGTGCCCTGGCCGCTGGCATCTCTGAGATTGGCAAGGCTCACCATTGGCTCTCCTGTCTCTGCCCTGTGCCCAGCAAACCATGGGCAGGCCCTGGGGGAAAAGACTGGGCAGGCACTCTCCACCTCCCCCAGGAAGACAGGTCCTCTCAGTAGGGAAAGGCAGAACATGATGAGAACTGCCGTTGTCCTCCATGATCCGGGATGTGGGGCCCGTAACAGGACTCTGTCCTCTGGGCTCCCAGGCAGTCAGTCATCTTGGAGGCAGCCCAACTCACCAGAGCCCAGTCAAGACTTGTCAGCCATCTTCTTCCAATCTAGGAGCATCTCTCTTACACATATTGTAGCAGCCTAGATCTGGGGCTGAAAGGGACCTCAATCCCTTCATTTTACAAATAAAGAAACTGAGGCACAGAGTTAAGTAACTTACCCATGGTCAGACAGCTATTAAGTGCCTGAGACAGAATTTGAACCCAGGTCTTCCTGACTCCAAGTCCAGTGCTCTATCCACTGAGCCACCCAGGTGGACCACATCAATTCAATGTTAAGTCCAGATTTACCGTGTGAAAAACACTATACCCAGCACTGGGGAATCAAAGACAAATAGGAAACAACCCCTGCCCTCTCTGAGCTTAGAGTCTACCAAGTACAAGATGTGTTCAAATGAATCTATGGTCTCAATTCAATTTCCCTTCAACACATTTTCCGTGACAATTCCATGTGACATTTGTCCATGTCCTATGATAAGTTTGTCATAGGGGTCCACCCGACAGGATGGAGGCCTTTCTTCCTTTGTCCTGAGGTCCGGTGGGTGCTGGTGGATCACTCTCAGCACCTCTCATCTTCAATCTCACTGAATGACCAGCCCATCTTCTCTTCTTATACAAAATATATACAAGGGCATAACCCATGGCCTAGGCACATTCCTCTACCCCAAGATGCAAGGTTCACCCCAATGGGGTCTGATCCCCCAAAATGGGTTGTTGGGGACAAGAAGGGGTAGTCCTGATCAGGAATTAACCTTGAAATTTTATGAGACTTAGGATCTGGTCCCAGCTCCTCCCAGCTCCAAGGACGTCCTTGGAGTTGACCTGAGGCCATTTGGCTGTCACATAACTGGCTCTTTCAGCAGAAGCTCGCTCCAGGATGGCAGTTCCTGGTTTCTGGCTCCAGCAGGTTTTTTCTGAGTCTCCTCTTGGAGGCTGGGAAAGGGCTTTGGGGATCCAGGGAACATAACTGCCCCAGGAATCGGATCACCACAACCCCCTTGAAAACCTAGCTCTGACTGTTTCACTAAACCCGCTTGACGCAGAAGGCTTTTTCAGGGAAGGGAAGGACGTGCTTCAGGGAACTCAGAGGATCAGGTCAGCTTTATCCAGTGCCCCCATTTCCTGTGCCAGTACTTCCCAGGAGGAATCTGCTTCCCATCCATTGCCACGGACCTAGCTAGAAGCCAGAGGAAAAGGCAGCTGAATGAGCCTTCACAGGAAACCCCCAGCCGAGAGAGTAAGGCGAGGGTTTTGTGAGACAAAAGGTGGAGAGCAGAGGCCAAACCTGTGATTTCCCTGCTCTGGAGATCCCCTCCACTGATGCACATCAGCAACTCTTCTACAAATTGTTGTCTTAGGGAATTGCCCCGAGCACTGAGAGGTTCAGTGATTTGTCCAGGGTCACTCAGCCAGGAGGTGTCAGGTGAGATTGGAACCCAGGTCTTCCTGACATCAAGGCCAGTTCTCTGACCATCGTGCCGCACTGCCTCTTCTGCCAGGCTCTTCTCTGGGCCTCAGTTTCTTTATCTGCATGAGGAGGTTGGACATGGTGGCCCCCAAAGTCCCTTCCAGCTCTCAAACAGTGGCCCTCTGACTGCTTTCAGGAATTTCTTGGCAGGGCTATAATACGGCGTGTACCCTCCACAAAGACTGTTCATTTGCAGTTACTCATGGCCACGCCTCCTCCCCTTCCTGGACCATAAGCTCCTTAAGAACAGGGGCCATGTCTCCTACAAACTCGCATCCCGTGCCTGCCTTGGGGCATCACATGGAGGGAGAGGGAGAGAGACTAGGCCAGGAACTTCACTGGGATGGGAGGCTCCCCCTGCCAGTGAAGAGCAGCACCTCCTCTTCACATTCTAATCTTCAGGGGTTTATCCAGTGTGCTGAGAGGCTCTGCAATCAGAGGCAAGACTTGAATCCAGGTCTTCCTGGCTTCTCTATTAGTCCATGCTTCCTCTCTGCACTATACATATTAGGTGCTTAATGCATTGTCATGGGCAGCCAGGTGCCACAGTGGATAGAGCTCCAGGCCTGAAAACCTAAGTTCAAATCTGGCCTCAGACCTGGACAAGTCTCTTTACCCTGTTTGCCTCAGTTTCCTCTTCTGTAAAATGAGCTGGAGAAGCACAAACCACTCCAGTGTCTTTACCAAGAAAACCCCACATGGGGTCGTGGAGAGTCAGACACACAACTGAAAATGACTCAACAGTGACAGCCACTCTGTTGTTGAACTGAATCAGTAGCACATGTTGCAGTCCTTGCCAAGTACTGCATGATCACAGAACTGGATCTCAGGGGATGCCTTCTCCACATGAGAGAATCAAAGCATTTCAGGGTAGGAAGGGTCCATCTATTCCAGTCTATATCCAGAAAAGAATCCTCGTTCCGGCCCAGGGGACAGGTGGCCAGCCCGCCTCCAGAGAAGGGGAAGCCGCCCCCTGTGCAGGCGGCCCAGCTCTCACAGTCGGGGGGGGTGGGTTCTGACATCCAGCCAAAACTGGTCTTTGTCATTCCCCCCCCCATGGCTCCCAGTCCTGCCTTTGGGGCCAAACTTGGTGAGTCTATGTTTTCTCACATATAGCTGCATTTGAGACATTAGAAGACAAGTCTTCTCTTCTCCAGGCTAAACATCCTCACCTCCTTCAATCAGTCATCTTTTGGCTTACTCAACACCCTACTCTTGTGGCCCTTCATTGGAAGTGCTCCAGTCCCAGCAGTGACCAGACTAGGGCCAGCTAAGTCCCCAGCATGGCAGCTCTCTCAGTGCAGCCTAAGGGACAAGCTCTCCTAGACAACAGACCTCACTGCAAATGAGGTTCTAAGGAGGGGAGAGCCAAGGTTGGCTAGAGAGAAGTCAGTCCAGTCCACTTCCAGATTCATCCTGAAGCTGTATAAAACTTGGGACCCAGCACCATGTCCTCAAAGGAGGCTCTCTGAGGGGATTTGCCTTCATTCCCCAACTTGCTCTTTTAATACCAGTCCCATTCTAGGCTGGGAGCTCACCCATTGGCTTGGAAGCTCTGACTTGGGGATGGTGTTTTCTTTTGTACCATGGACAGTGCCCAACCCAGGGTCCTTCCCAGAAGAAGTGTACCACAGGTGTGTTGAACTATATTACCAGGTGTCTTAAGAGGGCATTCAAAGCACAAATTCCACAGCTCATCCCCTGCCCACCCAGGTTGGGCGGCTAGGTGCCGCAATGGATCAAGTCCTCAAGACCTGAGTTCGTATTCTACCTGGACACTTACTAGCTGTTTGGCCCTAGGCAAGTTGCTTATCCTCACTCCCATTTCCTCATCACCCTGGCATAAAATCTGATGATAATAGCACCTGGCTTCCAGAGTTGTTGTGAGGATGAATATAAATAGAAATGCTGGCTCTCAACATCATCATATCAGGTTGGAGAAAAGATTCTAAAGGATTCACCCTTGTATTTCTGTAGATTGGTTTAGAAGACATTACTAAAGTGTACTTCACATGTGCCTCCTAACCACCAACTCCACAGTAACCATTGAATCCAGCAGAATTGGGCTGAGGGGAAAAAATCCCCAGAGGCCATGCTTTCATTCATTGCTCCATGCCCCAGTGGGTTGGTGATGTCATTGGTTTGGAAGCCTCCTCTCGCAATGCAGATCTGAGCCTATCTTGTGCCTCTCTGTCTTACTTAGACAAGTTATATGGATAGCCATCCATTCACTATGATCAGAAAATGACAAAGATAGGGGCAGCTAGGTGGTGCAGTGGATAGAGCTCCAGCCTTGAATTCAGGAGAACCTGAGTTCAAATCCAGTCTCAGATACGTGATGCATCCTATCCATGTGACCTTAGGCAAGTCACTTAACCCCAATTGCCAATCCAAAAAAAAAATGGCAAAGATGACTGAGGGGGGAGCTCAGAGACCAAGTCCAACCCTCTTGTTTTACATTTGGTCAAATATGTATTGAATGCACACTATCCTGAGGCTAATAGGTCATTCCCAATATAGAAGCTTCCTCCTCAAAATGAGAACTCTTTGAAGGAAAATATTTATTGGTACAAATTGAAAAACATCCCTGATTACAAATCACACTTAGCTTTTATACAAACAAAATCGGAGGGGGAGGGGAATGGTGTGTGGATTGTGGCCAATATTTAGATCAACAGGGGAAGAGAGGAGGGAAGGGGACCAGGCATTTGTTAAGCACTTTACAAACATGGTCAAAAAATCAGTGGTAGTGCGGTTAGATGGATTTAGGGGCTGGTTAAAGGGCCAGACCCAAAGAGTAGTCATTGATGGTTGGATGTCAGCTTGGGAGCAGAACTTCTGTAGAGTGCATCAGATATATATGCATGACCCTGTTGCTGTTTAATATTTTTGTTTTATCAGTGATTTGGATAAAGGCATATATGGTTATATGTTTATCATGTTTAGAGAAGTCACCAAGCTGGGAGAGTGAAAAAAGCACCATAGGCTAGAGTAAGGACCCTAAAAGGTCTTGAATATTGGCCCACATTGAATAAGACTGAGCAATGGCAAATGTAAAGTCTTACAATTGGGTTCAAGAAATCAATGTCTCAAGTATAAGATAGGAGTAGAAGGGTCATGGTCAGAGGGCAGCTCATTTGGGAAAAGGTCCTAGGCTGGGGGAGGGGAGGGGGAGGAACCTGAAGCTAAGAGACGTCATTGTTAAGTGTCCAGACCTCATGTTCTCCTTTCCCCCTTGCAGCATACTCCCACAAGCAGCACTTGAAGAAATCCACAAGTTTTCTGGCAGCTACACCTGCATGAACACTTTCAAAGGTCGGACATAAAGCCAGAAACACGAAGACATCCTCCAGGCCAAGGGAAGCCAGCAGAGCCTCCAGAGGCCTGTCCTTTAGCACTGCCCTCCCGCCGCAGGGCACCCATGGGCACTGCTCCTGTCCCCGGGAGGGAGGGAACATGACTGCTGAGCCAGCACCATGACCTTTTGCACAAGACTGACGGACAGGACCCTTACCCACCAGGAGGCAAAACGCAAAAAACAAACAAAAAAATCAGCAGCCTTGACATTTTTGTATATTTCTAATTCTTTAGAGTTTTATCATTAAATCTGCTTATATAGTCAAACCATTCCTCCAGTGTCTAGAGGCTCTGTTCTTGAGGTTCTGTTCCCTGTTGGCCCCTGACGACATAACAGGAACAGAAAATAAAGAAATGATTTTTGAGAGGTTTTTTCTCCTTGCAGTCCCTGCCACTAGGCTCCAGACACACAACCAGTAGATCCAGTGCAGACTCTGTAACTGATTTCCCTACTTACTGTCCCCGCGTGGATTGGGGCTGGAGGGTGGGGAGTGGGGAGAGGATTTGGAATGGAGATTGCCAAACTGGAACCTCAGAGACTGGCTCTCTCTAGCTTTCTATTCACCTCTTAGGAATACTCAAATGTGCCCTCCCTAATCTGCAGAAAGGACACCGTGCATGGGCCCGCAGTGACAGGCATGCTCTTTTGAGTTGTTTCCCACTAATGAAAAGCAATGAAAAGCAAAATCTACATTTTCTCACCTTGTCCCCCTGCCCATTGCTGGCACCTGTAAGATGCCTAGCCAAGGTTGAGAGCTGTCCAGGCCCTCGAGTGAAACTCACAGGCCCATAAAGGAGTAAGCTCATGACCATGGCCATGTACCATGCTTCTTAAAAAATGTTTTGTTTTTACATCACTTTCATTTCCAAATATGTCCCCCTCCCCATAGTGAGCCATCCATTGTAACAAAGGAAGGAAGGAAGAAAGGAAGAAAGAGAAAGAGAAAGAAAGCGAAAGAAAAAAGAGAAGGGGAAAGTTAACCAACCCATCTACTAAGTATGGCAGTATGCGTGATGTTCCACATCCATAGTCCCCGCTTGTGCAGGGAAGAGAGGAAGGTGGGGCCGTGCTTTAACCAGTCCAGCCTCTAACTCCGAGGAGAACCACAGACTGAGGGGGCGGCTCAGAAGTCACTTCTTCCAACCTTTAACTGAGCAGGAATCCACCACAAGTGGTTATCCTTCCTCTGAGTAGAAATTTCAAATGAGGAGAAGCTCCCAAGGCAGCCCATTTTGCTTTTAGACAGTGCTGACAAGGACATTTTCCTTTATGTGAAAGTAACAGAGACCAAAAAAATCAAACATTTCTGGAACTCTTATGCTGGGTCAAGCGTCAGTGCCAAGGATAAAAAGGCAGAAATGAAGCCATCCCTGCCCTCAAGCAGCTTACATTCTATTGGAAAGGGACATGACATATGAATGTGTGCATGTACATGTTCATAATATATATAATATATAATATACATATATACTACACAATAATACATAATACAAAGTAGTTTAGGGAGGGAGGCCACTAGCAGCTGGTGGGGGAGGGGGAGGAGGTGGGGAAGGAAGATCAGGAAAAAAGAGAGCTGATCTTCGAAGGAAACCAGGAATTCTGAGAGGCAGAGGTGAGAAGGCAATGAACTCCACGAGTCAATGGATATAAGGAAAGTTGATACAAGGGAAGCAGTGTGTGTGCTGAGGATTAAGGCCTATTTGGACCATAGAGTACCTGGAGTATATCTGGGCTTTTCCCTTCCCTTCCCCTCTCCTTTTCTCCTCTTCTTTTCCTTCTACTTCCCCTTCCATTTCCCTTCCCTTGCCTCACTTGAAGACGATTCATACATCCCTTCTTCCTTCAAATCCCCTGGCTAACCCTCTTGTTCTTGCAAATGCTCCTATGTGGCATGCTTTCAACTTCTCCCTTATCCTGGCTGCTTTCCTCTAGACTTTCATCAGCCCTTGTCCGTGTTCTCCCCAATGAGCACCCAGAACTGACCACAACACTCCAGGTGTTGTCCAACAAGGACAGAGAGCAACATTGCTAGTAGAATAACTACTGTGTCCAGCACTGTGCTAGGCATCATGGTGATACAATTAAAATGTGATATGTTCCCTCATGCTTAAGAAGTTGGCCCATCTAGTCGGGAAGAGAAGATGAACCCATGAGCAAATGTGGCGAACACCTCCACGACAATTCTGATTATACAGTGACAATGAGTAACCTTTGCATAGTGCTTTAAGGTTTGCCAAGAATTTTACATGTATAATTTCAGTTGATCCCTTATGTGGCCTTGGGAGGTAAGTGCAATCTTTTCCATTTTACAGGTGAGGAAACTGAGGCTGATAGAGATGAAGCCAAGAGGTCAATGAGTATTTATTAAATGACTGTTATGCACTAGGCACCATGCTAAGTGCTGAGAATACAAGGACAAAAGATGATCTTTGCCCTCAGGGAGCTCGAAGTCTAATGGGGGAGACAATGGGAACAACTATGTATAAATAAGATATAGACAGGATAAAATGGAAATAATCAATAGAGGGAAGGCACTAGCATTAAGGAGGACTTCATGTAGAAAATGAGATTTTAGCTGAGAAGGAAGCCAGGGAAACCAGGAAGCAAGCTGAAAGAGGAAGAGGATTCTAGATGTGGAGGACAGCCAATGAGAACTCTGGAAATCAAGAGACGGAGGTCATGTGCTGTAAAGACAAGACTGGAGAACAGCTAGGAGGCCAGTGTCCCTGGACTGCAGAGGGTATGGAGTAAGTGGCAATAAGGCTAGAAATGACTTGCCCAAGGTCACACAGCAAGTGTCTGAGCCAAGATTTGAACTCAGAAAAACAACTTAGTTCAGAGTACAGAGAAAGGGAAGAGTAATAATGGCATGAAGAAATAGGACTAAAAGGTAAGTAGGAAAAAAGCCCGGCAGCCCAGTTACATAGAACAGTAATAGCATAAACATGGAATGGTTATGACCTGGAGAGAAGACCAGCCTGACTGCAGTGCAGGCTCCATTTGGGGGATATCAGACATTCACACTCTTGAAACTTTTAAAGTGTGCCAAGTACCTCCATCAGCTCCTTTTATCCTTGCAGAATATCTTACTGGTCTTTAGAAAGTCACATCCAACTCCCCATGACCCCATTTGGGGTTTTCTTGGCAGAGATCCCAGAGTGGTTTGCCATTTCCTTCTCCAGATCATTTTACAGATGAGGAAACTGAGGCAAACAGGGTGAAGTGACTTGCCCAGGGTCACACAGCTAGTGTCTGAGGCCAGATTTGAACTCAGGTCTTCCTGACTCCAAGCCTGGCACTCTCTCCACTGCACCACCTAACTGTGCATCCTTATGACATCCCTGTGACATACATATCAATTGGATTATTATCCCTAATGTGCAGATAAGGAAACTGAAGATGACGTGATTTGCCTATCACATAGTTAATAAGTGCTTGAGGCAAGATTGGAACTCATGTCTTTCTTGGATTCAAATTCAAGCACTCTTTCCACTCTGCCATACTTCCCCCTCAGTAGTGAGAAAGAAGGCTGAAGCATCCTGCTCTTCAGTAGAGAGGTGGGGGACTACGTGTGGGGAATATTGCATATGCTGTCAGATATGATTGCTTTGTAGATCAGTTTTGCTCAACTGTTTTGTTTTTTGTTTGTTTTTAAGTTACAAAGAAGGGCTTAGGGAAAGTAGCCCGAAATGACTATTGTTTTTTAAAAAGATCAATGCCACTTTCTAAAAAAATAAAAAAAGATTAAAATAAGCATGGTAATATCCTTTTCTTCTACTTCTCCCAAATGTGTGGGACAGCGACCCTAACTCAAATTAAACTCAGAGACTTCTCAAGGTGGAAAGCAAAGGTTACCTTTATTACAGTCTCGGGAGATGGCTGTCTGCTCCTTCAATACACGTGGAGAGAGAGAGAGACCTCGAAACAGGGGCTGCCTTATAAAAGCAAATCTCTGCCCACCAGGCAAACAAGTCTCCACCCACCACTATCCCTTACCCCCTTAACTGGGGGTGGGCTTACATTCTAACTGGGAGGTGGGGCTTACATTCCAGGCTCGAAATTCAAAGACAAGGAAAGAGGCCGGAAGCCAAGGGCAAATGGCTCAGGTTGGGGGTGGGGCAGGGCTTATTCTTTCTATTAAGGCTTAAAAACAGAGTCTGAGTGGGGGAGGATTTTGAAAGTAATAATCAAGAATTATTTGACCCTTTGAGGAGCCTTCACTTCTGAGAGTTCATTTCTCACACTACCTTCTGAACTCATTACCTTAATTACACTGAGAAGTCTTCACTGGGACATCCCATTCACAAACAAATATTAGGAAATGGAGTATAGTTGTAACCCCAGTCCCAGAGCTCATTGGTGTGGAACTCTCTCCTCATTGGTAGATATCAATATCCTGCACCTGCATGAGGGGGACAGAGTCAACAAGAGTGAGAAGTGGGAGGTGATCCAGAGTTCTTCTAGCTTTCAGCTTCAAGAGAGGAGATGTGTGATGCTAACCTCTCTTCAGGTTACTTACTGAAGGGAGAAAAAGACTCTGGGAAGAAGCCAACATGAGAGGAACCGGCAGTCTCTATCGTGTCCCTATCCTCAGCTTGTTATAGTAGAGTCTTCAGGGAATTGTCCCTTTGGGGGAAATCTGAGACTCTCTCTTGGTTGATGTAGGATAGCTTGCTCTCAGTGAGTGAGCTCCTTCTACCTATATTGTCTGACATGAATATTCATACGTGTACTTTCTCTGATTTCTGTTTTGCTAACAACTTGGATGAACGGGTTTCTTTGCTATCTGATATTTGTGCTCATTTTGGAGCTGGTATTTAATGGGACGGGAAGCAAGGCTCAGATGCAGAGCTTCCCCCTCTCACCTACCTTACCTGTTAAGAAATAGAGATCACCAGTTTAGCTTGAATCTAAAAGTTTCTTCCCCTAGACTAACAAACAGTGTTTATATGAGCCAATAGATTTAATTCTAGCCCTATATATCTCCTTTTTCAAGGGAAAGCAAAGTAGCTAGCCTCTCGGCCCCAACCTCCTGCTTTCCCTCTTGGCAGGAATCACAGTCTTCCTTAGAGAAGAGTGGGAGGAAGAGATGCTCGAGACATCTGTTCTTGCCTCCTTCCTGTGAGCCATGTCAAGGCAGCCACACTACATAACTGAAATTAACTGAAGGGATACAGAGCCCATCTGATCCAAGCATCTCATTTTATAGGTAAAGAAACCGAGGTCCAGGGAGCTGTGACTTGATCAAAGTCATACAAACAGTGACTGTAAG